TCCAAATAGGGACCCACCAGCAAGAGGATCTATTAGGCAAAATGATCTGTGAAAATTGACAAATAAGATGATTTGAGTGTGGGGGGTGGGGAATGAAACCAAATAGTATGAAGGCTTGAAAGGTAATAAACAAAGATGAAAATAGCTGTGTTAGCAGAGTAGAGCCTTTCTTTTTCTTTTCAAACATTGCCTCCGTCGCCCCTGGTCAGGTGGCGCAGTCGGATGGAGTGTCGTCCCATACGCCAAAGGTTGCAGGTTCGATTCCCAGTCAGGGCACATACCTAGGATGCTGTTCAATCTCAGGTCTGGGCGAGTATGGGAGGAAACCTATCGATGTGCCTTCCTCTCTCTCTCTCTCTAAAATCAATCAAAAGCTATCCTTGGGTGAGTGAGGATTAACAAAAAGATTCCTCTGTCGTTAGTGCATCATCTCATCAATAGACATGATTCAGAGCAGTTTTTCCAGTGATCATGTGAATAATATTTTGTGGTATTATTTAGTATTCTAAAATTCAAACTGGTTTGGTTGAATGATGAAAGGCATTCATCATTGCAGAGTTAATGCACAAGGCAAGTATTGCTATTTTAGATGCTTTTTTTTTTTCCAAAGTAAAATTCTAAAAACGGCCCCTGCTTCTGACCAACGGGCAGCCATTTTGCAAGGTCAGGCTTTCTGGCTTGGTGCTGACCCTAATGAAAGTAACCAGGCCTCCTCCCCTGAACTTCAAAACAAAACCACCCATAACCCCATTTTAAAGAGCAAAACCACAAGCCACAGCCTCAGTCATTGCCGGGGATGCTTCCATTTCTTATTTCCTATTGATAAGTTGCAGAAAGGCCTCCCATAATCGGCCGTGAAAGTGGAAACCGGCTGCCTTTGGTTTAAAGAAACTTGGGGAGGGAGAGAGAGAAGCTGGTGCGCTCTTCCTCTTCTGGGTGGTTCTGTGGTTCTGCGGCAGGGGTGGAGAACTCTGGACACCGAGCCCGCTAGACGCGAAGTTCAGGGAAACAAGGCCATCTGCAGACCTGCTTGCGGCCAGGACAGGAGAGACAGTGTGGAGTTGAAGCCATACTGCTGGATCAACGGCAGGCGCGGAAACCACGTGGACAGGTTATACGAGGCACTGGGCCCCAGGCAGGAGCCAGATCCCGTGCGAGGGAGCAAGCCAAACAGCCTTCCTTTGTGAATAAGGAATTTATGTACCCATTGCATACATATAAGATACATACACTGCAGGTCTGTAGGTCACCCATTAAATAGGGCGATGTAGCGGAAGGCACTGGCCCGGCTGGTGTGGCTCAGTGGGTGAGTGTCGACCCATGCACCAAGAGGTCGCTGGTTTGATTCCCGGTCAGGGCACATGCCCAGGTTGTGGGCCCCATCCCCAGTGGGGGGCATGCAGGAGGCGGCCAATCGATGTTCTCTCTCATCAATGTTTCTATTTCTCTCTCCCTTTCCCTTCCTCTCTCTCTGAAATCAATAAAGAAAAAAAAATAGTGGAAGGCACGAGGGCTTGGAGTTGATGGACCTGAATTCAAATACTGACTCTGATACTCACCACAGTGACGAGGCTCTGCATAGGTTACGGTTACTTTGTAAACCACAGTTTCAGCATCTGAGCATAAAATAAGATGGAAAAGATTTGCCTAGACCAGCAACTAGCACATAGTAGATGCTAATTAAATAGTATCTGCAATTAATAGTAGTGATGATGGTAGAGTGGGATCATTATTATATAAAGTATGTATTACACAGGTAACATATTACATATCTATCTGTCTGTAAATACACACACATATATCATGACAGAGGGTGAGCAATGGCCTTGGGCTTAGAATAAGCTAAAAAAGGAGTGTGGGCCCAGCCAGTGTGGCTCAGTGGATTGAGAGTCATCCATGGACTGAGAGTTCCCGGTTCGATTCCCGGTCAGGGCACATGCCCAGATTGTGGGCTCGATCCCCGGTAAGGGGGCGTGCAGGAGGCAGCTGATTGATGTCTCTCTCACATTGATGTTTCTTAAAAAAATCTATAAAAACATATTTTTTAAAAAAGGAGTGAGGCCGTATGCCACCCACCTGCTCCCCTGTCCAGGAGTCCCCCATACCATTAGAAGGAAGAGTAAGGTGCCCGGCAGGAGAAGCTGCCCTCCGGGACTGGTGTGTCCGACCGAGTGCACTCAGGCCATAGTGGGCAAGAGGAGGCCTGGGTGTTGTTCTGGGGCCTCGGGTCATCCTCAAGTGCCCTAGAGAACTTCTGAGAAAGTGGATGAGGACCTGATGCACTGTGAAGACTCCTAGAGACACGAGATGTAAGTTCTTTGTAGCAGGCATAGTGGGAGAGGTTACCCTAAACTTTGAATTCCCACCATGTGGCACTGAGTACATGTTTATTGAATGAAAGATTGTCTGAAGGCTTAGTCTTTTAACTTAGGAAACTTGTTGATTTAGGCCAATACTCACCTCCCCTCGTCAAGTTCCCCCCAAACCTCATCGCGCCTGCCTGGTGCAGGACGGGGACGAGTCAGGGCATACCTGAATGGGATGAGTTGGCCAACAGCCCGCAGGGTCTCCTTTGCATCTCTTTGATAGTTTGGACATCACCTTGGCTGATGATACTCCAACATCTTCTTTGCCATGGCTTAAATTCCACCTTCACCAAATGCCTGAAGCTTTGGTAGAGTCAGACCCATGAAGTCCCTCCTGTGCTCAGCCTGAGACCTCAAGATGATGCCTCTCTTGGGAAAAGACACGTCTAACTGATTCAAGAAGGTGGTGGCATCAACGCAGGGAAGGGGCACGACTTTGAGATCAAACCAACCCAGGTGTGAACCACAGCTCTGCCACTTATGAGCTGTGTGGACCAGGGCGACATGTAAAACATCTTGGCCTCAGTTTCTGCATCCACAAGACAGGAAGCGGAGGGCCACCTGGGGGCGGTCATGGTCACATCAGAAGTCAGATGGGCTGGTGCAGCCTGCTTAGCCCAGCGTGTGGCTCATGGTCATCCCCATGATGGGAACTGTTTCCATGAACATAATGCCTGGCCACCGGGAATCAGTCTTTCCTTCAGCGGTTATTTATTAAGCACCTACTATGTGACAAGAGCAGTTCAAGGCGTTGTGGCCACAGTTGTGAACAAAACAGACAAATCCAGTGGGGTTTATGTTATAGGAGGCAGAGAGAGGACGTAGCAAATAGATAGAGACACATACTGTGTCCACTAGGATTATGTGTTGTGGAGAAAAGGGAAGGCTAAGGACACATGGGATGCGATCATCTCCTCTGAAAGGGGGTCACAGTTGAGCAGAGACCAGACACAGTGTGAGAGAAAGCCAGGCGAACCTCTGGAAGAAAAGCATTTCAGCCGAGGAAACAGCAAGTAGAAAGTCCTTGCCTAGGAAGGGTACTTGGCATATTTCAAGAACACAAAGCGGCTGGAGGGGCTACCTGTGGTAGGGGAGAAAAGGTGCTAGAACACGAGCTCAGACAGCAAGATGGGGACCAGAGGACGAAAGAAGTCCTAGGCTACGGTGAAAGTCTGGACCTGACTCAGTGAGATGAGAAGCTGTATTGGTTAGCGTTGGCGGCATAACAAGTGACCATGAACTTTGTGGCTTCCCGCAACAGACTTTTCTTTCTTGCCATTCTGCGGATTGGCTGAGTTTCTTCTCATCTGGGTTGATCCCGCTGGACTGAACAGTCTGGGATGGCCTCGCTCACATGTCCAGTGCTTGGTTGGATGTCAGTGCGTAGCAGTCAGGTGTCTCTCATCATCCAACAGGCTAGCTGGTGGTTGCCAGGTTCCAGAGAGCAGCAAGGAAGGACAGTCCCCAGTGCACAGGCAGTTTCCAGCTGGCCAAGGCAAGGCATGTGGCCAAGGCCAAAGTGAGTGTGGGAGGCGACCAGTCACAGCGTGGAGACTGGCAGGAGCATCATGATGGTCACATTTGCACACAACCTATCGCTGTCTGATTCGTGGATTTAAAGGATTTTGTAAGGGCCCTGGCTGGTTTTGCTCAGTAGTTAGAGCGTCGGCCCATGGACCAGAGAGTCCTGGGTTCAGTTCCCGCCAAGGGCACGTACCTTGGTTGCAGTTTGTCCCCGGCCCCTGTTGGGGTTGTGTGGGTGGCAGCCACTCGATATGTCTCTCTCACATCAATGTTTCTCTCTCTCTTCCTCCTTCTCCCCCTCCTGTTCTAGCTGAAGGCAAATGCAAAAGTGTCCTCTGGTGAGGATAAAAAATGAAAAATAAATAAATTATAAATAAATAAATAAATAAAGGATTTTGTAAGAGAGAATATAGCCCAAATCGGAGGGTGTAGCCAGGCTATGGGCCCATGGAAAGCTGTGTGTTCGTCTGGACTGGGCCACAGAGCCAGAGCCCAGCGGTTCATGATGTCATATGGCCTGAAGTTGCTATTAGCAAGAGAAGCAGTGACACACACACCCTGCCCCGTGTTCTCGTATGTTGGCAAATGCACTCTCTCCATCTCCCCCAAGTGGACCATCTCACACCCCTGCTGGAAGGGCCTAGAAACCAAGGCGTCCGTGTGAAAGGGGTGAACAGAAAAGAACCCCCAAACCTCCCACAGGCTACTAGATAGAGATGCTCTCTCATCACCAAGAAGTTGATCATTGCAGGGGGACCAGACCACTGAGGACTGAAATAACCCACCACGAGTAATAACAAAACCTCTTCTGGTGAAATCCAACCAGAGTCACGTTTCTTTCTCTTTCTTCCTTCCACAGAAAGTACGATGCCGGCATGCTGATGGCGTGAGACCACCTGGGCCACCGACAGCCACAAAGCACAAGACAAGACACACTCAGAGAAGAAACAAGAACGGTGTTTTCCTGGCGTCTACAAGAAGCGCTTTATTTTTCCTCTAGATTTTTTTTCTAAAAAAGAAAAAAACAAAAACAAAAACACACAAAAAACCAGAACTGTCACAAACATTTAAAGACACACAACAGACTTCAGGCGATGGTATTCGAGCATGCTCTTTTATTAAGCACAGGATGGGAGAGGGGACAGGACGTTTAGGCAGGACGCTAACAAGGGAGCACTGAGGGGCTCTGACCCTCCGCCAGGGGGCTGCTGCTTGAAACTGTGAGTGACTAATGAAGAGAACGACTTTTACCCACACCCCGAAATCATCCTGTAAATGCCTGTGGACACCGGGCTTCCTTCCTTGCCTGTCAAGGCATCGAGGGGGTGTCTGGCAAAATTCGTTTGCAATTCTCTCTAAGGAAATTTTTCTCTAGTTTGGCAAGGGAGTCAAAGGACCAGGACCTTCGGGATCGTAGCTCTATCTATTCCACCGGTTTCTCCGCGTCACAGTGTCACCTCCATCTTCACTGACGGGGACGAGGTTCAGCGCTCGCTCCCGGGAGTTGCCAGGCCCACTTAGACTTGGTCAGAATGAATGAAACAATGATCTCCTGGGTCAATACAGCGAAGGACAGACACTCACTTTTTCTTCCCTAACCGGGAGGAAGCTCCTAGATGCCGTGTGGCCACGGTGGCGGTGGAGATGGTGGGTGGGACAGGGGCACTGGGCCATTCTAAACGGTGACAGAATACAATAAGACAAGGACCCCACGTACCAACTGAGGGTCACTTTCAAACAGGCCACCACCAGAAAAGCAAAGGGACCCAAACCTAAGCCAGCCCCAGAAGAGAGAGACTGCCCCTTTACCCCTGGAATGAATTCCCTGCTTCCCGTTGGTACTAACATTTTCCCATCTGCTGTGGCTGCTCCTACTTCCTTGACTCTGGCGGATCCGTGTCAGAGGGCACGGAAAGGCCCCTGGACAGGCTGGAAGGGGCCCGGCGTTGGCACGCACGCTGGGGCCCGCGCTCGGCCTAGCTGGCCTGGCTGCCCAGCCCTTCCCGGATCAGCCTCTCGCTGAGCGCCCACAGCGCCCGCGCCGTCTCTTCGCTCTGGGCCTCCGCGGAGGGCAAGCAGCGGCAGCAGCTGTTGAAATACATCCCTCCCAGGCCCTCCAGCTCGGGAGCAGCAGCACAGTAGACGGTGGTGGCAGCTCCTTGTTGCTGGAAATAGAAAAAAAACAAAAACACAACATTTTTTTTAAGAGGTGACGAGATGACTTTCTCCCGACTGGGAATTAGCAAGCCTCTCCCCACCCGGTCCAGTGGCCCCTGGATCTCAGCATGGCCAAGGGGCCTGAACTCAGCACAGGACTGTGAAAGGTAGGATGTGAGCATCCTGGAAAAAAAAACGAGTTCAGAAACCCCGCTGGTGACGCTGGTGTGACCCTTGACACCTCATGTAGGAAAAGGCCACGAAAATAAATACGCAAATCAATCAATCAAGTCAGACATCTCTCCCCGGCAAAGAGGAAAAGGGGTTACTCTTTTGAACACACAAGAAGAAATTCATCCAACCCTTTGACTTCTCAGTGCATAATGTATTTAGACACCAAGATGTTTCTAGAACCTTCTGTCCAAATTAAACCAACCACCCTAATAACGGCCCATCAGGTCGCAAACCCAGGCGGGACGGTGCCAGGTCTTTCCTGTAGGCTGCGGTGCTGGTTATACGGCAGAGAGCTCGCCATGCCATGTTACCGTGTTTAAAACCCACATACACATGTTCCCTGCCGTGCATGCTGGCCTCATGCAGACACGTGGCACATTTATTCATTCGTCCAGAGCCTGTGAAAACCCTTTTCCAAGTGTCGTAGTCATCCCATATGTGCAAGGGGACAGTGGGGACACCTCTCCTCCCAGCCCACTTCAGAACGCAGGTTGCAGTGAGTGCCATTGGTCCCTCTCGGTTCACCCTTTGAGTAGCAGTTGGCGCTGTGGCTAGGGATGTGTGTGCCGATGAGGTACCATATCATCTGGGCTGACAGAATACTGTCAGGGATGCTGGAAAGAGGGCAAGAAATCACTTTGCTTTGCAAGCCATAATTAAAAATAATAGGCTGGTGTTCATAGGGAGACACGGTAGGCACGGCTCTAATTTAAAACCAATACAGTTTATCTGGCATCTTATGATTATTTATGTACATCACAGCCCTTTGTCGCATCAACTAATTATAGGCTGGTAGGGAGGGGTTTGCAGAAGAGGATGGGGAAAGGTAACTAGGAATAAGGTCACCATCAGAAAAACATTAAGGATGTTCGCTTGAGGGGGAAATGCATTTCTACCCCCACCCAAAGCTTACCACCTTTCTGCCCCTGCAGGGTTTAAGTTGTGCCTACGCACAGTGCCTGATGGAACGGCATGCTCCTCAAATGGTTTGGTTTGCATTTGCTAGGACTGCACGCTAGAGCCACTAGGAGCCAAGGTCGTTCTAAGATCAGGGTCTCAAGATGCTACAATTTTAGGAGAGCGCTCCCAAACAGAGTTGGGTTTCGTTTGTTTGTTTGTCCGGGGGAGCTCAAAGTCGGGGTGTGTTGCCATATTTAAATCTGTGTGAAAACCACATGGTCAAATACCGTCAAGGGATGTGATTGTGGGGAGGCGTGTGGAATGGAGTGGGAGTGGGGTGGAGACTTGAGTTCTGTTCATAGCTGCCTGCTTGATGGCCCCAGACAGGTCCCATTAGTTCAGAACTTGAACTCCCGACATGACTTGAACTTAACTAAATAGTCACTGGTTTGTTACTTCCCCAACGCCCTCTCGTGCCCCCTCCCCAGTTATTCTTGGATTCAGCTCTTTCTTTTTAAATTGATGAGTGTGGCTCGAGTCTAATGGAAATAAGTTTATGTCATCCAAATATTCCTTCACTGAATTATTATTCCTAATAACACTTTGTTTAGCACCTGGCACATTTCTCTAAAGAATTTCGGGAGGCCCATCTAATGCCCGGCATGTCGTGGAGGGGGCCGGGGGAGGGGAAGCTGAGCGCCTCTGAGGACAAACTGAAGAATCGAGATGCTCATCCTGATAACTTGAGCCAAATATGATTTTGGCCTCACTTCTTAGCAGAGTTCAATTGGAGATGGCGTTTTGCATAATTTTCTGGATATCTATCTTAGACTTACATTTTACTTTGCAGCTGCCAAACCACCAAAGAGTGGTCAGGTGATTTCCCATCAACTCTAAGGGGTGAGAGAATCCAGTCAGCTCACCCCCAAATCCAGGCTCCCCACCCCCATGAGAGAGCCTTGTAATACCGGCATTTACAGAACACGACAAACTAGCCTTTCAGAGAGCCACCAGTCCCGAGACAAGATGAAAGTAGGCCACCTGGGAAAGCAGACAGCGGAATTCTTCCAAACCCAATGTAATATTTTGCTACTGTGACCTTCTAAAACGATATCGTATTGCACTCTTGCATTGTTGGAATGGTATTTTTGCAAAGAAATTCTGCACGTACATTGATTCAGAGTCGCGTTGATGAGGGAGCTAGGGGCATGCATTTTCCCTCCATGGAGTTTGAAAGCAATTGCAATGACCTCATTTCATATAAGTCTATATTTGGCTACCTTGCCGAAAACCATACATTTTAGAAAAGCCCAATCTTTCATCAAGAGCTGGCTTTGGTTCTTTTGCCACGAGGCTTGGGGTGACAGTCTAAATCCCATCACAAGTGGCTCTGGCTTTGTAGAGGAACACAGGACAGTAGGGGCACCTGGAAGCAAAGACCACCTTCTCCACTCGAAGTTCAACTGCACATTTGGTGACATCTCCCTCTCTGACTCATTCTCGATTCGACTGGTACTCAATTTGCTTTCCTTTCTTGATGGACAGTTAAGTAGTGACCAGATCTTTTACTCCTAAGCTCACAACCTTTTGGCTTCTCAGGGAATCCTCTTTTTAGCAGTCTCTGAGTGATATCTTTATATGAGCAGATGTGACGACGGTTTTTTGGTTTTTTTTTTTTGAGAGAGAAAGAAACGTCGATGTGAGAGAGACACATCGATTGGCTGCCTCCCACATGCCCCTTTCTGGGGATGGAGCCTGTAACCCAGGCATGTGCCCTGACCTGGAATTGAACCGGGACCTCTCAGTCCATGGGACCGTGCTCCAACCACTGAGCCACACAGGCTGGGCTGTGATGACACTTTCAAGTTCTAAGTTTGGACTCATCAGCTTTTTGGTCTGCCTGCCATCAAAATGAGACAGAGCCGAATTAGGGAAATCTCATTAGTACATAGGCTTGTCCTGCTGCTACAAGATAAAACATTTTCAAACCGATAAAAACAAATTTAAAAGAGCACTTTCATCAGCGTCAAATGACTTTCATGCCACTTGTGTGTGTGTGGGGGGGAGCATCAGGACCTAACTCAGAAAAGATGAAAGAGTCACACAAAGGAAACGATGTTGCCAACTCTGATACAGAATATCTGAAGCCATATCTTGTGAGTTGTCACCACTGTTGACTGATCCATCGCGATAAGAGAACAGCAACACCTTGACATATGAACACTGGCTGGAGCTGGGGGTCCCCTAAACGATGTGTTAACGATTTCTCAGAAGCCTGTCTGGACTTCTGCAGCTGCTTATGGCTGGGATGCGGCGTCTCCATCCTGGAGAATTGGCAATGAGTTAGGGTGTGGCTGACCCAGCACTGAGAATTTTGGGGACGTGCAGTAGACTCTGTCGTAGTGCCTGAATGCCACTTCTGATCGGATCAAACATTTCTGAGCTGCCGGAGGAGAGCTGTGCATCCATCTTTAGAGTGTGTGTAGGATTACCCAGGATTCCTGTTTGGGTTTCAGTTAAGAGTATCTTGGTTATAAAGGTTCATCATTCTCCTTCAGAACTCATTTGTCAGATTTGCAGCACAGTCTCCCACTACAGGAGGGTAGATCTGGAAAGCAGTTGCTGTTTATTTATAGTTGAGGCCCCAAGACCTAAATTATCTACCCTTCCCAAACTCTTTGTTGGGATGAAAACGTTAAAGTAGCCCTTTTTCATCAACATTTATTTGATAACTGCTGGCCACCAATTTGTAGCTGGGATCAAAATGAATATTAACTCTTTTAAAGGAAAAGGTACAGAAGTTTCTAATCAACAAAATACGGCAAAGGAAAAACCACCCACGTATTGATATTTGTAATGTATCAGTTAGTACTCTAACCACCCAGATATTGACATTTGTAATGCATCGGTTAGCACTCTAATATAACTTGCGTTTTAATAAGGACACATATTACACAATTACTGTTTAGTTTTCGAGTTTCTCTACTTTAAAATGCATGCTTACTTACAAGAAAGAATAGCTTCCTGTCTTAAAGTAGATTTAACTACAAGATGTATAAAAAGTAGACACTGTCACAGAATATCTATATATAGTCAATGATTCTGAGAGTAGTCAGTGTTTCTAAGATTGCTTTATTGCAGACGTACGGATATCAGGAGATTGTACGAAAAATGCTGAATGAATCAATTTTTGCAAAAAGTAAAGATGTGTTAGGGACCGTGTCGGGGAACTTAGCCTGGGCTTGGAACCCCACGGGCAGGGAGGGGAAACCTTTGGGAAGGGCCCAGGGATTCCTGTGCTGAGTCCCGGGACAAAGAGGTGATCTGAAGCGAGCAGGTGCTGCAGAAAGAAGACAGGTGCCTCTTCCAGTCCTCAGAGCTTCCGTTACTCATCTGGGGTCCGGTAGGCAAAACAAACACTTCCCGGATGCAAAGCCGGCCACCTAGACAGCGGCTCCGCGAATGTGGCAGGACAACCTCTCACAGGGCACACTTGTCACAGGAGGAACAGATGCCTGCCCCCCGCATCCTCTCTGTCTTTCCCCATCTCCCAGTAACGCTCCCGCAGGAGAGCTGATGACCATCCGACGGGGAAAGTGCGACACCGTGTTTCGGCGTCCCTCTCCAGACGCACATCCTTCCCTCCGAAACCATGACGGCCGAGTCTCCGCTGTTAAAGACGAACCAAAGCGAACTGCTCCACCAAGTTATACCCCCTACTTACCGAGAACAATCTTCCAGGCTGACAAAGGTGTCGCGTGTTTTATTCATTCTCAGGGTGACGTGAGGCAGCTCACACAGGAACGAGGCTCGCCCCTCCCCTGTGAGCATGGTCCCCACCAGCAAGGCGCCCTCGCCCTCCCCCCGTGACGCT